TGCAAAATTTAGCATTCTACCTTTATTAAAAACATAACTGTAAACAGAAAAAAAAATAGCAAATATCTATTCTCTTCCCAAGTTTTACCGATTTTATTTCATATTTTCATCATAATTAAAATTAATTAGCGGTGAGGAAGATGCGGACTCTTTGGACATCAAACCACCACAGGCCAACGTGCTGCATTCGCGTGATCCCGCTGGTTCGAGACGGAAAGAAAAATCGTCCAAGGAGAAGAAACATTCCAAAGAAAAGAAACATCGCAATGAAAGAGAGCGTGCTAGTGGCCGTGAACGCGGCGAAAGGGAACGAGATCAGCGCGAGCGCGACACCAGAGAACCGCATGGTAGAGAACGAGACATGCGCAATGATCGTGGAGGAGGCGTGCGTCCAGTCGATATAGAGCGAACCCGCGGCGACCACCGTAGAGGCGGCGAGGAACGTGAAGAAATGGCGCGTTATCATCAGCGTGGCAGTGGCTATGAACGCGACGACGGCAGCCACAGAGATATGATGCCGAACAGCGAGCGCCGTTACGCGAAACACTACGAACCGCACAATAATGACATGCGTCGCAACAGTGGCAGCAGCGGTGGTGGTGGTGGCGGCCCTTATCACCAACAATATCAACATCCTCATATGCCGCGGCAGCGACCGGATTACTATGAGCGCGGCGCTAGTGGTGCCTACCACCATGGTGGCCTTGACTATTACAACAATAGACATCAGCACCAGCAGCAGCAGCAACAGTATGGCGGTGGAGGTGGAGGTGGCAAGCACTCGCATATTGAGTACAATGAGGTCAGCTATGAGATTCAGCGCGAGCGTCGTAAATATAACTACGATGCGCAGAATGACTCGGAGAGTATTGAACAGGATTTGCGTTCACGTTTACTTAGTAAACGACATAAGTACGTAAAGAGCAGTGGCGGCGATGTTATCGAGTTGGCGGAGAGCTATGAGTCAACGTCTACGGTACAAAGGCAACGGTACGGCGATGCAGAGCGCCACGAACGTCATCGTCAAAAGCATGAAAAAGTGCGTGAATCCGTTATTGAGGTGCTTGATAGTCCGGAGCTCGTTGAGGTGGAGGGCACACAAGCAGAGGAAGCTCATCGTCAACGCCGCAAGCATAAGCATCGCAACAAGGAACGCGAAGTAGTGCTGTCAGAGACGGTAGTGAGTACAGAACGCGTGGAGCGGCCGGAGAAGCGAAAATCACCCGATGACCCAGAGATGCTGTCGCGTCGCGAAAAAATACTGGCCGTTGAGCGTGAGAAAGTGAAGCGTAAGGAGATGGCGCGAGAGGAGTTGGAGGCGCGTCGTCGAGCACGCAGTGCTTTGAGTCCAAGTGCGGTTGCAGCTTCCGTTACAGCGGGGTTAAATGTCATGAAGCGCAAGAAGCAGGAAGATGTTGTTGAGGTGGAAGTGAAACGGAAACGATCCAAGAAGGCGATAGCTTCTAAGCAGCGTAGTGACGAGGAGGAAGAGGGCGAAGCGATAGACAGTGAAGCGGATGACGACGACGATGAGGACGAGGAGAACGAAAGTGAGGAGATGGAAACAGAGAGCGGAAGCGGCGATAGTGAAAGTGACAGCGAGAGTAACTCTGAAGAGGAAGGTGCAATTGCGCGGCGTGAAAAACATCACCGTAAGCGTAGCAAAGCCGAGAAGAAAAAGAAAAAGAAGAAACATCGTTCCCGCAAAGCACGAGACAATGGTGTTCAAAATGAAGACAATGTCGTTGATGACGACGATGATGATGCTGAAGAGGACGACGACGTTGATATACCGGAAAGCCCGTTTTCTATAGGCGAACTTTCCAAATCCCCCATACGTCGTCAGCATCGCGCAAAGAAGCACAAGAAAAAGAAGAGTAAAAAACATGTCGAAGACGACGATGAAGAAGATGGTGAACACCGTTCATCGCGTTCGCGTACACGCTCTGCCCGCTCACACTCGCGTTCTCCCTCCCGTACACTTTCGCGCTCACGCTCACATACGCCTCGTCGCAAGAGCACACATTCACGTTCCCGTTCCCGTTCTCATTCAGGCTCACGTGGCTCTTCGCCACGGCGACATGCAACACGCTCACGTTCCCGCTCCCGTTCACATTCACATTTTGGCTCAGGTTCAATGTCATCGCGCTCACTTTCACGTTCATCACGTTCACGCTCAAGGTCACGAACACGTTCACGCTCACGCTCCGAAGAGCGTGACATGAAGTCGGCGCACAAAACAGAAGCTGAGGCCACTGCTGCGGGCACAAGACGACGTGGAGAAGGTGATGGTCGGAATGATTCGCCTGCACGGGACGACAAAGGTGCGCCTTTGCCTGACTACTTCCCGGGCATACAGGGCTGCCGCTCCGTCGAAGAGTTCCAATGTTTGAATCGCATAGAAGAGGGCACTTATGGTGTGGTCTACCGCGCCAAGGACAAACGTACCAACGAGATTGTTGCATTGAAGCGCCTGAAAATGGAGAAAGAAAAAGAAGGCTTTCCCATAACGTCATTGCGTGAGATCAATACGCTTCTGAAAGGCCAGCACCCAAATATAGTTACAGTGCGCGAGATAGTCGTCGGTTCGAATATGGATAAAATTTTCATTGTTATGGACTATGTGGAACATGACCTCAAATCGTTGATGGAGACCATGAAGGCACGCAAACAGTTTTTTCTGCCCGGTGAAGTAAAATGTCTGACGCAGCAGCTACTGCGTGCAGTCGGACATTTACATGACAATTGGATATTACATCGAGATTTAAAAACCTCGAATCTGCTACTCTCACACAAAGGTATTTTGAAAGTGGGTGACTTCGGCTTGGCCCGTGAATATGGTTCCCCACTGAAAAAGTACACGTCACTGGTAGTCACACTGTGGTACCGCGCACCCGAGTTGCTGCTCTGTTCACCGGAATACTCAACACCCATTGACATTTGGTCGGTGGGCTGCATTTTTGGCGAGTTCCTGCAAATGGGTCCACTCTTTCCGGGCAAGACGGAAACTGATGAGCTGAACAAAATTTTTAAGGTGAGTCAAAAACCAGCAAAATATGTAGGTTTAAAAAGTTCTTGTAACCGAATGCACTGTTCAAAATGAAAAGAGATTTCCCTTTCCCCGCCCGCTTTTTATAAAATTTGTGTACCGCAGTAAAAGCTTAGTCGATCTTTCCCAATCGGTTTCGTACAGATTTAGACCTATACAATTGACTTGTTATTCTTTTACATTTTACAAAAATTTTAAATATATTTTCTTTATTCCTTTTCCCAGGAACTTGGCACACCAAACGAACGCATTTGGCCCGGATACAAAGATTTACCTGCCGTCCGCAATATGTTAAGTCAAAATTCGCAATTCGCCGACTATCCTGTTTCCAATTTACGCAAGCGTTTCGCTGAAAAAACCACCGACTTAGGCATTGAGTTGCTGCAGGGTCTTCTTACTTACGATCCAAAAAAAAAGACTAACCGCAGACGCGGCCCTAAAACATAGCCACTTCA